AACATGTTTAATAACCATAGAAAGAGATTTCCAAAAATGCAAACTCATGTCACAAACACTCCAAAATTTCAATAAATCTGTCTCAGCAAATGAAGAAAAGTGACAGCTGAGCTAGTTAGTAAAGCTCAAAAGTAGCTTCAAGAACCTGCGGCATCGCTACCACTCTTCCTCCCCACACCCTTGCCAAAACCAGGAGTGTTATTGTCAATTGCCATGTGAGTGCAATCCCTGAGCAGAGAAGGCTCCAGCTGTCAGTTTTAAATGAACTCAGAATGAATAATGTATTGGCAATTCTTCACATTGCCTAGAAGCCAGGTCAGTGGGGTTTTTTTTATCCTGAAATGCAAGACGTAAATAATTGTAATAAATAAAATAAAAGGAAGCTTGCAAAATAAAGAGAAGCAGCTGGAGAGACGCTTGAGAGAACATCCTGATAATTTTAGAGGTACACTTTTCATTGCCACCTTTGTTGATTACAGGCTTGATTGGATCAGGCCAATTCCTAGGTTGATTTGAACACTCATTGGTTTGAATAAAAATGACCAACTATGTTTGACTCATTTTTGAAGAGTGGGAACATTTAGAGAAAATAAACATATTCAAAGAGCCACTGTGCTTTATTTGTCTGCATCTCTACATGCTCTGCTTCATTTTAACAACGTTAGCTAACAGGTCCATAGACTATTTATTATAACTGCAGAAATAATCAAGACAGGGAGAGCATGCAAAGCATGGCTTTTCATTTTTTTTCCCCCCAGCTCCTTTACCAGCAGTGGCACTCCGTATTTTATCTGTTGCAATGGAATAAGGCATTGTGTCTTTGTGTGTGTACTTGCCTTTTCACCCCAGGACTAATCAGGGTCTCTGCATATGTATGGCCTGTGTGTGTGTGAGGATCTAATCAGGGTTAAGTACATATGAGATGCTTCTGTGTTTCTGTGTTTTTCTGGTCTCCCCATGTATGTCTATGTGCATTTGCACTGTGCAATGAGAACAGTGGGACTGTTCCAGTCTGGCTGTGGGAGGGAGGGACTTAGAATGGAGGTAGCAGCAGCATTCTGAACTGCTGGCCAGCTCTCTCTCCCATAAGGATATATTGGGGAAATTTGATCTTCTGGATTTTTTTTTTCTGCCGTCCTTGGCTAGATCTGGCCTATTTTTAAAGTCAGTGTTTCTTTGGCTGGCTTCTGCCCCACACCAAATTTGAACCCGTTCTATTTTGTTTTCAGAAAATTATACCACCGATTCACAGGTAGAGTCCCAAAACCAATTACATAATTTATTGCCAACGTTTTGTTGGGTTGGAAAGAATAAAGACAGAACGAAGCAGTAGTAACAAGAGTAATGGATTAAAATTCTAGTGAAATTGGACCACATGTCCTGGTCCTGATTCCTGTCCATGCTTACTGGCAGCCAACCCTCTTGATTTTAGTAGGAATTAAGTCCTAAGGAAGGGTATTTATGACTATAGCCCTATCTTTCTGCAGGTTTCCTGAGAAACAAGACCTGGTCAAGATAAGGATTGCAACTACAATTATTAAATAATGCAACACGTGCTTGTTAGAACAGCTACTGTATCAAACAATATTTATATTTTATGATGCAAAACTATCCTAACAGAAATTGCTGTAGGGCTTTTCCTTTTGAGGGAGACTCATTTTGTAACTTATAACTACATGTTTCAGGCTAGTGGGCTCCCCATACCCATCCGTGTCCATATTTCTTCTTAACTTTAAGGAATGTATAGAAAGTGAGTCTATGGAACCTGTCTTGGACCATTTCCATCCTCCTCCTGGGTGGAATTCTTCTGGCCCTTCCGTGTTTGCCACACGAGCACGGGCAGCTCTTCTTGCTAGAGGCTACCTGCCATTTTATAGAACCGCCCTGTGTAAAATTCAGCCAGCAAACTGTACTTGGGAAGCTAGCAAAACCCTGAATGATAACTTGTGTCTCTGTTTTTTTACCTCTCTTCTCTACCTTACCCCCAGCTATCGGAACTTTCTTCAGAAGAACGCCCAGAGAGACTTGGAGCTGCCCAGCAGCATAAAAGGAAGACGGCTTCCTTGAAAAAACAGATCTTACAGAAAACCAAACAGCTGGATGAGGTGTATTTGACAAGGCTCTTAAATATCTTTCATGAATCTAGACCTATGGCAGAATTTGACTTACAATGTTGGAATTAACTTCAGTGCGTTAAGAGAGGAGAAATCCGAATCAAAATAAGCATGGGCAAACCCTTATTTAATGACTGCTACAGGCACTACCTTACTATCTGACAGCAACTGAGAATTAAAGCATCCCCAAGTTGGGTTGATTCTCAGATAGCAGCAGCATTCTGCTTCTGATAGTTTGAATGTAAATTATTGTTGATTTAACAGTGCATGGAATTGGCTAGTTTATGCAAATTCTCTCAAAGGAGTTATTATTTTTTTCCTCCAGAGCAAGGAGGATCTCTTGTGATAGCTCACTACCATTCCTTTAAAATATAAAACTGACTTGGTCAATACTAAAAAGATTGTCATACCATAATTTTGTAATGTTACACTTTTACTATTCATCTGTTCCGTCCCAGTGCCCCCCCTTTTTTGGGGGGGGCTTCTGCTTTCATATAGCACAGGAGAACCCGTTGACTTGAGTCAGGTCCATCTCCCTCGTATGATTCTGTTTCTTGATTTTTACTCCATTCTACAGCATCTGCTGTGCTGCAGAGGTGGAATTTCAAACAATGCAGTAGTAAGAAGGCAGAATAATGCATTGTAAAAAGAAAAAGATGGAAGATGCCATTGTAGAAGCAAGAAGACAGAATCTCATATTTTTAAATCTTGATTCAGAAGCATTCAAGGATTTTGAGAAATGAATATGAGAAATGGGCCCTAAAGCCTTTGCATAAATCAGGAGGATGTTATTATGTTTTATTATTGTGACCAACCAGTGTTTCCATACAGTATCTTTTCCGATGTACTTTTTTTCAGAATGGTTATTCAAGTAATAAGAGAGGAAAATCATTTTATCTATTATAAAAACTCTCACTTTTTAAAAAAATTGGATCCTCTGACTTGGAACTTTATGCAAATTCTGGTTGGATTTTTTATATTCTCTTGACAATTTTGTTACCATAGACTGCTTGAGTTTTTAATCTACTTTTTATGTAGATTGACTGACTCACATGGATGACGAATGATCAATGGTTATGTATGTCAATACAAGATTCTGACTGAATAATCCTAGTAGGGTGCAAAGATAAGAGAAAACGTCAAAAATTATTGCAACTCAGTTCTCATATAATCACACACACACCACTTCCCTGAACTATTACTGTTTTGGGCTTAAGTCTTCACTTACCAAATTTGTGATCAGTTAATTTCCTTTCCGTCTTTTCTTCTCTGATAATAGTTGCAGGCTAAAAGTGCTGACTTACAGGCAGAATGTGATGAGGCTAAAAAGACACTAAATGAGGTAAACTTTTTTTTTCTCTCCATCTCTTCTTCCTGCTGTCCTTTCTCAGATCTGCCCCTAAGAATGGCAGAAGATTCATTCACTGTTTTTAGCTTTGTTGTACGCTGCCCAGAGTTGCCTGCGGTGAGATGGGCAACTATATAAATTCATTTAATACATAATAAATAAATAAAATGAATGGAGCCATTTAAAATTGTGTGCATGCACATAAGCAAATCAAAGGAGTAAGATACAGCTTGTAACAGTACAGGTTTTATTGTTGCTTTTTAGCGAAATGCTAAAATCTTTCCGCTGGGTAGCTATGCCAGTTATCCAAATGCATTGCATTGCTTCCCTAAAATGCTATTGTTGCCAATTCTTCCACCCCACCAAGACTGTTGGTTTTACAATCTTGATGAGCACATTGTTAATAATAATAATAGTACTAATAATGATAATACATTAATAATAATAATTTAAATTTATATGCCGCCCTTCTCTCTGCAACTCTGTTGAAGTTCATAGGGAACTTTTGCCTTTCTTCAGTTCTAAGAACATGTCACTCCAAGCCATGTTTGGTCTGACATCCAAGTAATTACTTTGGGTTTACTCTAAGGAATGGTAACCTAATCTTTTACCTGCATATAATTGGGTACATATATGCCCAATTATGGACAAAACAAATCAGGGGATGAATTCAAGTTATGTTTTGTGATTGGCATTGGATGTCTTAGTGCATCTGATCAGCGCTATGTCGAAGCTAGTGGAGAAATTGTAGCAGAAGTTCTAAGCCTTCAGTCACCGTTGGGGACGTTGAATGGATTAGTGCAGTCAGCATACTTCACTTCATATTTAAATATAGAACGTTTTCTGCAGAAATAAGTGTTCTGTCTGCTTCATGTTTCTTACTTTCTAGATTTCAAAGTATCCAAACAGTGCAATACAGCAATTGTGGTCCAACAAGAAAATTATGCTGAATGTGTTTGAGATAATACGTTCAGTCCTGTGATCTGCTACCACCGCCTGTTTGGGAAAAGCAATTATGCTTTTAGAAATCATGCCAGCTGTACAATGAAAGGGTTGCCAGATGTTGCCAAGAGTTCTTAACAGAGACAGATAAAATCTTAGAGGATGTTTCTCGCTGATTAGATTAATTTCTTTTAACCATCTTTTGATCCACTAACTGTATTCCTTAGGTTAAATCGTATAGTGAAAAATTGGACAAGGAACTGGCAGCTTTGGAAGTGGTGGAATCCCAAGCAGATGCAAAGTACGTGCTACATCCATTCCCATTCTGCTTTATCCCTTTCTTATGGCATATCTTATTGTTTAAACATCTTTTATTTTTCGATAAAATACTTTATTGTAAATACCACCTTATATCCAGCAAGTATAACATTTAGTATTATTCATTTACCCATGGATTTTTTTGTGTGTGTGCAAAGCTAGGAAGACTAAAAATATTTGTTTTCTATTTGGCTCAAAGTTTTGTTTTAACTATGTATACTATACAATTTTTGAAAGCAGCTTGCAAACACAGTGAATGAGAGAGCAAGATGTTACCTCCCAAAATTATAGGCCTTGGTTCACAGCCTCTGTTCTTCATTATTTAGTATATTGATCAGCATATTTGGAAGGGTAGATGAGCAGTTTTAAATATCAGCAAAGATAAGTGCAGCAAGCGTTAGCATTTAGAAAGAATCAGAATGTTTTGCAATAGCTAGATAGAGAATACTGATGACTTATTTATTTTTAAAGCGTTATTGCCTTAAACCACTCATTTGTTTTTCTTTATGGAATTAAATGGATTACAATCTAATTCTAATTTACCAGGAGTTATGGCATTAGTTTTACTAGAGCATACATGAGTTTAAACATCTTTTTGAAGTAGGGCTCTATATATGTATTTTTAAGAACTTGGGAGTAACATTTGGTAATTTTGTAAGTGTTCAGAAGATTATTTTGGTTTAATAATCATAAATATTAAGACTGGTGAATTGATTTAGAGAATCTATGTGTACACATATACACACATACACACACACCTACATGTTGCCCTTGTTGGACCTCTTCCTACCTTGGCATGGTGAGCCTAGGAAAAGATGTGGCTCCTTTAAGGTATTACCATCAGGTGCACTGTGTCCACCCATGCATGTTCCTAATCACCTTCTTCCTCTTTAACTTTGGAATGCTGCACTTTCTTAATCAGAATAACCTTTTAAGGTAGATAATAGTCACTAGTGTTTTTATTCTTGATGGGAAGACTTACAGCATGATTTTAGGGTGCCTTCCAAAGGTTGCAGGATATTTTTGAAGCTCTCTCCCTGTGTTCAGAAAGAAAGGTCTTCTCTTAAAAAGGGTGATCTAATGTTACCAGTCTGTGGCTTCAGAAAGATCACAGCCACATTTTCTTGATCTCTAAGAAGATAAAAAGGAAACTTGCTACAAGTGTGCCAAGAGAAGCTATGTATTCACAGTGCACAGGTACAAAGTGGAAAGAAGAAAAGCAGCAGCTTTTTCCACCTGTCAGTTTGCTGGTGGAACCCAGGGAAAGGCAGTTCCTCTCTCTTTGTCTCTCTCTCCCTCTGCTGTAGAGATGTCCATATGGAGTTCAAGCACCCAGATACATGTGGGCAGAATTATAGCTTAGATATCTTGATCTTTGGCCAACAGTCATTTGAATTCAGTTTTCCCAAAATGGTCAAATCATGTCAAAACATATTAGGGACCAAAACGTTTTACAAATGTTCCCGCTGAAACTTTTGATTCCTATTTTTACTGTGTACTTTTTAAAAGAATACCATCAACATGATCCAAGTACATTTAAGTTTCATTTACTTCAATGGAAATGTTAAGCATGTTCCTTTGAAACTGGTCCATTTTAGGAACTTCTGTCTGAACCTTACCTATTAGATCCTCTTATATAAATACTGTATGTTCAAATTGAAGTTCCTGTTCTATGTCCTTTTTTTTCAAAATTAACATTTTAGAAATACTATATATAGGATGAAATGTAACTAGTAACTTAGATGGTTGTTTTTCACGAAGTTGCATTTTATTAAGCCCATTTGCCATCTCTCATTCTGTGGCATCATCTAGATTTTTTTCAGATAATTGGAAAAAAAGATTTTCCTTTCACCTAATGCTTATATTTCTTTAGAATAAATGTTCTAAATCCTCAGGAATAATTCATACATATTACTATCATAGTGTCTTGCAGAAGCTTCGGGCACTGGTGGCAATGAATGAGAATCTTAAAAGTCAAGAACAAGAATTTAGAACACATTGCAGGGTAAGTGTGAGAAAGTTATTCCAAGCTGGGTCTGTACAGAGCATCTTTCAAGGATCTAGATATTCTCTTGTCATTGTTTATGTAATGCTATATGGGCAGCTCTTTCAAGATACATTACATATATTCACTTTGCAGTCGTGGATAGCAAAATAATTGCTTACATGTGATCAAACTATGCTGCATATGTAGGATAGGCAGGAATGAGCAGATCGTAAATTTGCCTAGATTGACAAAGGGTTTGGAATCCTGATTGTTTCACAGTAATAGCAGCAAACTGATTTTTCTTACCTAAATTAAGCTACTGGAATTAAGAAAGTTGTGGACCTTTTGTTTGAAAAGACAGCTCTGGGACTGGAAATTATTTGGGTACCATATTCTTTAGGTCAGCCTTATTTCCATCAAATTGTAGATTGTGGGTCTTAGGATTCCAATAAATAGCAAAGTTGAGCTAAATAACTTGCCTCGGCACTTGCTAATTTTGGATTAGCCAAGATAAACATTGGTTAAATATCAGTATGAATGTCACATAGTTACTGTTCTAGGGGTCCCCTGTCCAGTTCCTCTGTACATCTTCAGGTACATCTGATAAATACAGACTTCGTTGGATTGACTTGTGCTAAATCATAACATTGTTTTGAGTACCTAAGCAGATATATATTTTCTAACTCCCAGAATTCTCAACTGGCCTGGCCATTGCTAAGAATTCTGGGACCTGAAGTCCACACTTGAGAGGCCACCCAGGTTGGGGAATGTTGATTTACAACTTCTGGTTGCATTACTAGGCTAAATGGACTATTAATTTAACGTGGTATAACATTGCTTCCTATGTTACCATATCTGTAGTTCCAGGCAGCCTAGGAACTCATTAATTAGGGAGTGATTGATGTTTGCATGAGTTTTTAATGTTATGTGGAGGCTGAAACAGGACTTTGCTAAGGGAAATTTTGAGCAGTATTTTTTGCTGTGCTGATGGCATGCATTTTATTCTGAAAAGGTATCAGGATAAATGTAGGAAGCAAGAGAAGAGAAATGAAATGTTCCTATGAATTTTCAACTCCAGTATCTTCATACCTGTATGGATAACAGTTATAGACTGCTGTAGAATTGTTTTTATTGAACTCATCAGGTATCCTAAATGTGGTGTCTTCAAAATCTCCTTTGATTTTTTGTATTATGCAGATAGATTTTTCAACCATTTTTTCCTGTAATCTTGATGGTGGTTGCATTTTTAATCCATGTAGGTATACTGACATTTTCAAACTAGGATACTTCTTTTATTTTCCTTTTCTAGTACAAGAAATACGAGAGAGAGAGTGCGCGTTTCTCTCCCCTGGCCCCCCAAAAAACCTTGCAAATGTTGACACTAGAGCATGCTATTTATCAGAAAAAGAAGTTTCATCTTAAATCACAGTGGTCTAATTTTATTTTGTTGTCAGTCCATGTGTGTCTTCACCTTCTTCGAACACATAATATGTAGCAGATATAGTTCTTGGCTGCTTTTTTTTCATAAAGAGTGCAGTGTTTGCTAATGGGAAGGAACTATTTCTATTTTTCTTATTCTTTAAGGAAGAGATGGCACGCCTCCAACAAAACATTGAAAGTTTGAGAGTGGATGCAGCTGAAAATGGAGAGGAAAAGGTAAACAGCAAGTATTGGGGCTTTCTGTACTTTTCTTCCTTGATTAAGGAGCTTGAATGAGAAAACACTTGAAATCTTCTGCTAGTTCTGGTTAGAAACTGACAGTATTTTTCTTGCCACTCTCTAGCTGGCAGGCCCTAGATATATATGACACCATTTACCTATAGTCACTTTCAAATTAATACACTTCTTGTTTTAATTCCTGTCCTGTCTCATCCATATTGAAAGCAGTTTCTTATTCAAAACTTGGTAGTAGAATACATAGTAGATAATGCTTAGATGGCACATAGTTGTTTTCTTTTTAATACTGTGTATCTAATATTGCTTTATTGAAGGGATCACAAAATGTTTTAGATGGTGATTGTGTGATTTCATGCGATGTGGCTGAACCAAAATACATATTTCTGCAAAAATAAGATTTTAAAATTATGTAAAATGTATGTAAAATTAAATCAAAATTTAATTAATTGTGCAAAAAGTTATATGTGTGTATATTTATATTTATATTTATATTTATATTTATATTTATATTTATATTTACTTTGCTGGTCAGTGAATGCCACTTAGTGGAGTTATGGACACATTATTTCATAAATATTGTCTGCTTCCCTCCTCCCCATTATTTATTGGAACTACAAAATCACATTAATATTAAAATGTACTTAACATTAAAGTATTTTTAAAAAATCAATAAAAGTATTAAAAGTCAAACAGCATATATAAATGTACAAGAAAATAATAACGTATTATCAGCAAATTAAAAACAACAGTTTAAAGAATGAATGAACTGTTGTCACTCTGAAAGAGAGTCTCTTTTAAAGCAAGCTGAGTCTGAAATACTGCAGTCCGTTCATGGATATCCCAGGATGAAATGAATGGAGAGAAAACATTTCAAGAAGTTGAAATACTAAGAATTAATCAAATCTATACTAGCTGGTCTAAATAGTGGGCAGAGAGCAGCAAAGCCTGGAAAATTCAAACTCTGAGCAATGAATCAGGAGCAGGGATGTTTCCCTCTCTTTCAGGTGAGCTTCTAAAAGGGGGAAGAGTGACGGGTTTCATTGTGCCTTTGTTCTTATGCCTTCCATCATGGGGAAACATCTGGCTTTCTAGTCTGGCTCCTGTCAAGTAAGAAAAATGCCACAACCTGAAGAAGGGTTGCAGAATCAGAAGGTATTAGCCTTCTAGGCAAAGGCGAAGCTAGGTATGAATTAGGACTTATATTTACACATACACACACACACACACACAACATATATACTGGAGTGCTCTGCGATGGGCGCATGCCAATTCGCCTAAAATCAAAAGTGTATAGAATGATGGCCCACCCAGTAGCACTGTATGGCACTGAGTGCTGATCAACCACCAAAAGTGCTGAGCACCCTTTACATGCCATGGAGATGCTCATACTCGGTTGGTCATTAGGCATTTCCCTTCTCCACCATGTCAGCAATGATATAGTCAGGCAGCAGATGGGTGTTGCACCAATAACAGAAAAAATGTGGGAAAAGCACCTATAGTGGTATGGCCATGTTCTATGAGCAGCACTCCACACTGTTGCCTGCACTGCTGATCACTTTAACACCAGTGTCAAATGCCTGTGTGGAAGACCAAAGAAAAGGTAGCAGGACACAATGAGGACATGAAAATCATCCAGTTGGACTTAGTTGCTGCATTCAATCACATGAAATGGCGTTCATCAATCAGAAATGTGGATCCTGCACCTGCAGGAAAAACGCCAGGGAGGAGGAGGAGGAGATATATACGTTACACATCCTCTCTAGTTCCAAAGTGGTCCCAGTGGTGGTAGGAGCACTTGGGGGTGTGACTCCTAAGCTGGGAGCGTGGCTCCAACAGATCCCAGGAACAACATTAGAGCTCTCTGCCCAGAAGAGTGCAGTGCTAGAAACAGCTAAGATGCTGCTTAGAACCCCCAAACTCCCAGACTCTGGTAGAGGATCCGAGATTGAGGAAGACACATACCACCCATAGGGGTGAGAGGGGAATTTTTATTTATATTTATACACACACACCTCTGTATCGTGTGTGGATGTGTGTGAGTTGAAGCTCCAGAATCCATGAGATTTTCTTTTTTCTTTCATTGCCTTCAACTCTCAGTTAACTCCTAAACCTTAATCTACATCATTAACCATTTGTATCTTCTGAAATCAATAACCTCATTCTGACAAGGAGCAGGACTGAGGATTTTCATTTAGTGTAGGACTAAATGGTGAATATTGCTATACACAATTCTGCTCATCAGATTGGTTTCAGTGGAGCTTTGTTCAGTTCACATGAATGTGGATATTTTTATGTTTTGAATATTAGGAACCTGCTAAAATTATAGACCAACAATACAAAACTGAGAAAGAAAAACTGCAGAAGATCAGGCTGCTTTTGGTGAGTTGGCTGGGGAAAAATGGATTTGCTAAATGTCTTCCCATCATGTTCAACATAATTTCATAACATTCAACGTATGAATATTAACTTTTTAAAATGAATGTTTCAAAATGTAAACAGCATTTCAAGCAATTATTTTAAAAAATAGCTTTTACAACAAAGAGCTGCCTCAGGGAAGCAGCTGCATTGTAGCAATTGATTCTTTTATCAAGTTCTTTTTGAATATCACTCTATTTTTAAAAGCTACCTAGTTTTTATATTTTGTTTTAACTCCCTTCAGGCCCGTCGAAACAGGGAAATAGCCATTTTACAACGTAAGATTGATGAGGTGCCCAGCAGAGCTGAGTTAACACAGTACCAGAAGAGATTTATTGAACTGTATGGTCAAGGTATGTGTATTCTTCATGGCTAAGCAGCATGAACTTATAGAGCACAACGATGCACCTTGCTAATACTTGCTCTATTAACTGCATTTTGATAGGCACCTCATGTCTCTCTATTCTACTCTGCTCTTAAAAATGCCTTTAAAAATTACCTGAAGGTTGAAGATTTGATATTTCTGTGATCCTTTGTGGTAAATTTTAATGAGCATGTATTTTGTTAGTGCTTCAGCAGGTGGCAGCATTTAATCGACCTTGGCTGATCTCAGAAGCTATGCAGGTTTGGCCTTTGTTAATCCATGGATGGGGGACTTCCTGGGAATTCCAGAGCTGTAGACTAGATGGTGGTGGTGTTGATGATTACCTTCGAGTCAGTTATCTTCAGAGACAAGTCCCTGCAGTTTTCTTGGCAACATTTTTGGAAGTGGTTTACCATTGCTTGCTTCCTTGGGCTGGGAGAGAGTGATTGGCCCAAGATCACCCAGCTGACTTTGTGCCTAAGGTGGCACTAGAACTCACAATCTCTAACATGGTTCCTTAAACCACTACTGTACGCCAAACTGGTTCTCTGTACACTAGATCAGGAGGTTGAAAAAACAGAAAACAATAACAAACCATGTCTGTAACACTGCCAAGAAAACTGTATAAATGCAGGATTGCCTCCCTTGATAGAGTCATGGAATCCGAAGCATTCATACCTTTCATTTGCGTCAAGCTCCTCTACCTTGAGGGCACAAGAACTGTAACTGCAGAGAACTGGGCCAGAGTCATACAGATGGGTGGATGGACACAAGTGGAAGACAGCCATGTCAAGATCACTTAGCACTGTTCACTTAGCAGTACCATACAGAATGCTGTTATCTTATAAAATGATGTATCGATGGTATCTGTCACCAGGAAGATTATTAAAAATGTATAAAGGGTCTTCAAATATATGTTGGAAATATGAACAAGAAAGGACTTTTTATCGTCTTTGGTGGACATGTAATAAAGCTAAAAAAATTTGGACTCAAATACATATATTAATTCAG